TAACACCAAATATTATCAATATGCATTATTCTCTTCATAATCCAAATCTACACCTTATTTATTATTAATTTGATAGTAAGTTTAATCACCTGCTAAAGGTTTCAATCTCTTGCTAGGGGTTAAAAACACAAACTATTAAAGATATAGCACGTTTGTTTTTAATAAATTCATCATATGAATAAATTATACAATATACTCTATTATCTTAATTATCAAGAGAGCGAGAATAAATTTTATAAACTTTGTTCATTATACTTTTGAGAAACTTTTATATTTTAAAGTTAGCACTTAAAATTTAATTTAATTGATGTAATCGTTGTGGTTGAATACTATGCCAATAACCTGGCATATACTCAAAAAATCCATCATTGATGGATAAAATTTTTAACCAGTTTTGTTTTTCATACTAGTTATCTTTAATGATAATGATAACCTAAATAGTGAATACATATATATATATATACTACACATATATAGTAATAGTTCAAATGTATTTACATGGTTCCTGCAATGTAACATTATAAGAATTAGGGTCTTTATCATTATAAACAGGTTTATAAACATGATCTACATTAATTATAATGATAACGTATTCAAAAGAATTGGTGAAATATAAATCAGCAAAATTTAAACTATGAATCTAAAAACTATAAATTCGAATCTCAAATTCTTGATTCACAAAAGAAGAAGCTAAATAACTTCTAAGTAAACAACAGATCGAATTAGTGCATATATACATATATTAAAAAGGTGATAACTACTTGAGTAAATACTAAAACTAACTAAATCCACACTCAAACAACTAATCTACAGTTCCCAAAGACTCTCAAAATCTTGATTTGGTAGGCAGAAAGAGGCATAAAGAGACTTGGTCCAAGTCTCAAGGTCTTTTCGTGTCTTGTTGTAGTGACAATGGAGGTTAAGATAAGTATAGTCTTGACTTGTGCTTCTGCTAGTAGTTTAAAGCTTCAGTGAAAAGCTAAAAGTAACTCTTCTTCTTGATTCTAAGTATACCAGGGCTGCGTATTCTATTTTGATTATTAAGATTCTTAACGATCATTATGTGAATCACATGGTTACAAAATAGGATTGTGATATTGATTTATGGCCGATTTGAGGTAACAATGACGTGGATCTGAGTTCAATCAATTGTTTTGTTATAAAAGATATTTGACTACTAATTAGTACTTTCTTTCTCTCTTTCTTACTTTCATGAAAGATCAAAAATACGGTAGTAAAGAGATAAGAGAATACGTGTTCAGTTTTTGCTACAATAAATTATAATATTAAAGAAACTTAGAGTTAACACTTCTACTCAAATTTTGAAGAGTAAAACTTGACAAGAGTTTTATCAATTATGGTGAGATCAGAATATATCTTAATTGAGTATTTTATTAAGAATGAAGAGATAAGTATAGACCTCTTTAGAGTTACTACTTCTACTATTATAATTTTGAAGTGTTAAACTCAATTTGAGTTCTGTTTTATTTCAAAGCAAAAAGAGCTTCATTTTTATACTTTTTACATTACTAATTAATTACAGGTTTTTGTATTTGTTTTTATGCACGAATGGACTAAAGATCATAAGGGTCATAAAGATCATAAATGCTTTTAACAGCATTTATCATATAAGGGTTATTTGGGACCAAAGTGTCATTAATGGCACTAAGATCACTTCTGATATGTGTGACAGAAAAGAAATAAATTCCTGCCAGGAACTATAAAAAGATAATGACTATTTTTGAGTTACTAATACTGATAAAGATAAAAAAAAATAATAATAATAGAGTACCAGGAACCTCTTACAACGTATATTTATAGTAATGATTCAAATATATTTGTATAGTTTTTGTAATGTAATATTATAAGAGTTAGGTCTTTATTATTATAAACAGGTTTATAAACATGATCCACATTAATTATAATGATAATGTATTAAAAAGGATTGGTGAAATGTAAATCAGCAAAATTTAAACTATGAATCTAAAAAACCATGGATTCGGATTTCAAAATCATGTGAGATTTTGATTTACAAGAGATTTGAAGAAGCTAAATGACTTCTAATTCTAAATTCAGTAAACAATAAATCAAATTCAGAAAAAAAATATGAATATGTAGTGATTAGGTAAATTATTAAAAAAAGTGAGTATAAACTTTAATGCATAAAATACATAATCAATAATCAAAAAATCCAAGGTCTATAACATAATAAGGCCGTATTAGTAATTATATACTGAAATTTTTAAAGAATTGTTATTTATTATTGTACAAAAAATGGAATGATAAGAGTTTTTTTCCTTTGCTATTTAAAAAGATGATATTTAAGAGTTATAATTGAGGAATAATTAAAATTTTCATTCTTTTATTTGGTAATACTCATGTATATTTTCTTGTTTTCAAATTCTAATCATTCTTGCATCATGTGAATTGAGATTAAATTCATTCCTGCATTGATAAAAGTTTACTAAATAAAATGAATACTTGTTAGCATTTTGAATTTTTATCAAAGTAATTGTTATCTTTTAAAAATATTATACCAAACAAGTAAATGTTTAAATCGTTAGATCCAGTTTTGCCACTATAAAGATCAGTAGATTAGATCTTAAATTATTGACTTTAATATAAAAAATAACTATTTAATAAAGTAAGAGAAACTTTTAATTTTATAAATCTTTTAGATTATTTAAATACTAGGTCTTATTAATTGCATTATTCATAAAGGATTATTATTAATTATAGTCTCATCTTTCTTATTTTTTTGTTATTTTACTCCTCAATTTGCTTCTAGTTAAGGACTGTTTTGAAATTGTCTTAAACCATTAGTTCAAAATCTTGTAGCAATCATTTATTAATATAGTCACTTCTCTTTTTAAAGTGATTATCATTATCATATCATAATTTTTTCACATTATATACAATATATCATCTTAAAAAAGACAAAGAATGGCCATTAGTCAATATCTAAAACAAAAAATATATGAATATAATGAAAATAACTCTAACAAAACACAAGAAGATATTGCAAACCATTTTAATTCTCAAATTTCTAACTTAAATTTGGACTGGACTACAATTTCTAAAATTTTGAAAAATAAATCCAAATGGTTAGCTATTACAAAAAGTCAATTAAGTTTAATAGTTTTTAGATATAAGCAAGTGAAATATCTTATATTAGATCAATCAATGAGACTTTGAATTGAGCAAGTTACTAATGGAGAAATTATCCTAACAGAATTAATGATTAAAGAAAAAGCAACTTACTTTGCAAAAGTATTAAATCTGGGCAATGATGCTTTAAAATTCTCAAATGGGTAGATTCACAAGTTTAAATGAAGTAATAATCTAAGGAGTTTTAGATTACACAGAGAAGCAAGTAGTACACCATTATCTTCATTTCTGAAGTAAAGACAAAAATTACGTGAGTTGATTGAAAAATATACATTGAATAATGTGTTTAACGCGGATGAAACAGGGCTTTTCTTCCATATAGCCTCAGATCAACACTTGCATCTAAATCAAGACCTGGGTTTAAAAAGGCTAGTTAATTTTAATTAAGGTTATTATTATTTTTAAATTAGTGTGAAAATAAATTTTACAAATTCTATGAATCCTGCATATTATCATTATTTTAACAATGGTAATATGCAGGATTCATAGAATTTGTAAATTCAATTTGCACTAGCAAATTTAATAATTATTTTAAAAGCTTACCTTTTAAATATCAACTAGTGTTATTTAAGAGTTACTATTATGTTGGCATATAATATAGCTAGGACTAAAAAGTTAAAGCTATTAGTAATCGAGTTATCACTTTTTCTTCGCACACTCATTTGTATTAACTATGATTCTTTACCTGTTATCTATCTTGCAAATTCCTGAGCATGGATGAGAAATGATATATTTTTTGAATGGTTAAAAAATTTAGATAATAGATTTCGAATTCAAAATCGCCAAGTTTTGTTACTAGTAGATAATGCCTCTTTGTATTTTCATAACTAGCCTAATGCTATTAAGTTGTATGAATTAGATAAATCAAATTCTGATTCTGATAAAGAAATATCTAACAGTGTTCTTGAATCTGAAATGCCAACTGTTTTGTGTTAAAATCGCTAAAAGCAAGGTTGGCCAAGATTAGTTAGAACTAATCAGAGTACAAGTAATAGCTGGAGTAATTATAGTTATAGTCATAGTACTAGTGGTAGTATGGGCTGTTATAGTAGTGGCTATGGTCATCTACATATTATACCTAATCATTCAAGTGTAAAGTTAACTAATATTAAACTTGAATTTTTACCACCAAATACCACAGCTCATCTCTAGCCGATAGATGCAGATATTATTAAGAGTTTCAAAGCAAAATATAAGCAAAAATATATTTGGCATATGCTAACACAATTTGAGAATAATGAGAATTTAGCAAAGTAAATCTTAATTATATCTTATTATACAATAACTTTTTTTTTTTGCACTAAAATTTTTAATTTTAATTTTTTAATTAGAAACAAAATAAATGTAAAAGATGCCATTTATTATATTTCTGAATTATGGGATGTTGTTAAAAATCTAACAATTGTCAATTGTTAGAATAAAACTAGAATTTTGCTGTCAGTTTTTCATGAAGAAGTTGAAGCTTCTGCTAATAATCAAGACATGTTGGAACAACAAGAACAGGTTATTGACATGTCGGTGATAGATTTAATATCTCAAAATCTGGATCCAGAAATAGAAAGTCAATTGAATGCTTATTTAGATCTCAATAATTCGCATATTATAACTGAGAAGAAACTTAAAGATTCTGAAATAATCAAAATAGTTTTGGATGAAGCAAGTCAACGTGAAAATGAAGATCCTGACAATTTAGATGATGAAGAACTAGAAATTTTTGTATCAGAGGGATTAGTAGGATTAAAAAAGTTTATTAGCTTTTTTGAACAACAAATTGATACAGATTTCAAGGCTGAAGATCATAAAATTTTTCAAAAATATTTATCTTTAGTAAATTGAAAATATGTTGAATCTAAACACCAAATATCTATTAATAATTTTTTTGTGCCTTTAAATAATGATAATATGTTGTAATATGCAATTTTTACTCTTTTCTTTTTTTTTCTTTTTTTTGTTTTATCTATATTTTAGTGATTTTATTAGTATTAGCGGAGTATGTTGTAGCTACCCGTATAATAATTAAATGTATATTTTTTATAAATATTTAGGGCAAATATTTTGTTTCTCCATGCTTTAAATACTTTCAACAAGTTTGTTGTACTGATATTAATATAAAAAGTAAAGACTTTTGCCTCAGATATTACTGTGGTTTCAGTAATACAATACAATTTTTAAATCTTGCTTATATATAAAAATAGATATACAGTATAAGCAAAATTTATATGAAAGAAATAACTTTACTAAGTGTAATATTCAGATAAAAATCAGAACTCATTGAATCTAAAAGAGAATAATTAGTGCTGTTAACCCAAAAGTAAATTCTAACAAGAACAAGTAAAGTTAAAACACTTAGCTTCTATCCAAATTTACATGATCATTAATACTGTAGGTATATATATGATTTACATCTCAATAAATCAGAAGCAAAATTTTAATCGAATAAAAATTATATTACGGACCATTCAATGAATAAATTATAGAGGTGCAGCTATCTTTTTATAGAGATATTCTACTTGACTAAAAATTTAAACCCTACATTTCCCAGAATTTTTTAATTATTAGTGCTTGAAAAAACTCTTTATTCGTATTTATGTTTTGTACAATATAGAATTACTGGCTATTATTGTTTATAAACTCTTAAGACAAATTTATTTTATAGCCGATTAATATTCAAATAAGTTTACTTTGCAGATAATTTGTTTTATCGATAACTCATTCCACTAACAAATTTAGTGATTGGACCCAAATAGATACACCCAAATCATCTGCAGATTATCCACAAGTCATCATGATAGTGTTACAGATTAATAAATAACCTTTATCACTAAAATCTAGTTTAAACAATGAGCACTCAATGATTCAGATTGAAATGATACTAAATCTATAAATGAGGGTAAGTATTTTTCTCATTATTATTTTGGTAAAAGGGCACTACCACTACTTATTTATTTTCACTTTGCTTATAAATATATATTTTAACTTCACATTATTGCATCATTAATTAATCATATGACTTTGACTCTTAAATTATTACATATTTTTATGTATAACTTATCTTTTACTTTAGTATACTTCTTTATACTACCGACTGTTGCATAATAACTGTTGAATAATTTGATTGAATTCTGAACAATTAGTATGTAAATCACATGTATCACATGGAACCAATATCCTCTTCGAATCTTTATATTCTAAAGACAAGATTGAGTTTTTTTTTTCTTTATAATATTGATATACTTCTTAACTAATTAAAGTTTCAAATTGATATCTCTTACCAAGTGTATTGAGTACTCATTTTCACCATAACAATAGTATCTAATCTGGCCAAAAATAAATGCTATTATCAAAATTCTGGGACATCTAAGAAATTAGTTATTATATAGCCGCAAAATAACGCACAGAGGTGTTATTTTGAATTTTAACCCAAATTAAGCTTAGTTTAGGCCAAAATTTGAAATTACACTTCTACGCATTATTTCACAATTATATGATAAATAATTTTTTGCCTAATTTGGTTAAATTATTAATTTTAGCATGATCAATATATAATATATATATATGCTATATGCTGAATAGGCAATATAATAATTTGTACTGTATAAAATTAATTTTATTTTATCTCTATTAAATCATATTTTTTATTTTAATTATAATTTGTGCTTATATGAAGGTATTTTTATAAAGTTACACTTCTTTATAATTACTACATCTGGGTGTAACAAATTGCATAATTATAAAGAAGAATGACTGTAGTAGATTTATTTATCTATAAATATTTGAATATACTTATATATAGAAAGTTCAAGTAAATACTTATTTGAAATAAAAATTTTTAAAAAAAGATCTATTGTGAAGAGATAGTACTAAGTGTAACAAGCAAATATTACTAAAAATTTTATTATCCATAGGTTGTATATATAAATTCTTGGTTGGCATAGGAAGTATTAACAACCTCTAAAGCAGTATTAGAGATCTTGATTAGAAGAATAACTAGACAGTAACTAGAATTATAATAGTAAGAAAAGTAGTTAAATACAAAAAGACCTATAATAAAGAATTAGTCTTATCAAATTTGGAATATCTCTGGCATTGTATTAAACTTACTAGCTAATAAGAAGTTAAAATATAAAGGCATATATATATTAATAGATTTAACAAGCTTTGGTCATATCTGTATAAAAATCTTTAGATATTAAAAAAACCTAAGATTATTAATATAGTTATAGCTAGCATAAGTATATATAGTTATAATTAAGCTACAACTGCTAAAAATTACTATAAAAAAAAAACAATAATATACTTGTTATGCAAAAAGACTCATAATGCTACTCAACTATACTGTATACTAAAAGCATATATAAAATATGTCTAAACATCTTATTACTATATTGGAAGTATAGTCGTTAGCACAATTAATAAATTTAATACTTTAAAATCTAGATTCCAAAGTTACAAAAAATTAGCTAAAAAAACTCTTTCCCGTAAATCTGTAAATCATAAGGAAAACAAAACAAACAAAATCCTAAAACTGTCTATGAACTAATTATAAAGAAAACTACAACTAGACTACTGCCGGAAGGCAAATAAATATTACCAAGTGCCCGGGAATATCCACCACATTGAAAAGAGATAGAGACACACTTCTTGCTACCCCAGAATCCTTCGAACCCTTCCTCA